GTGCTCTTGTTCGAGAGCAGGAGGCGGACTGTCGTAGTCTACGTCGCCTCAGCGAGAGGACCTTAATGCGAGCGTAATAACGTAAATGCGAGATGAGCCAGTTGAGATGTACCGGCTCAGGAAATAGGGTTAGGGTAAGTACTCGAGATATGTGAAAAGTTCGACTGTGCGAACTTACACTTCCCCGCTGAGAGAACGGCAAACCGCGCAGTGCCGCAACATGCTCCCCCTACTACAGTAGCACATGTTTTGACGAATACTGAGAAAAGACATTTTGATGAAGTAAGAAAGGAATGGACTAGCTAAATAGTAACTATGATGGGAGAAATACGCAGAACTGACCTTACGGATAGTTTTACAGCGGACAACGTCACCAACACGTATCAGATTGTATATATGCCACATGTCCTCGGAATCTTCCGGGATGAGAGCGACATATCTGTAATGTAGTGGTTAGCTATTTCAATACCGAAAAAACCATTTATCAAGGAATCTTTGCAGTAACCAACTTTACCATTTATATCCTCTTGCAAACAATGAACTATAAACATCGTAAATAACGTATGGAACTCACCCCGGCCCGTTCTTTTCTATTCCTCGTTTTATAAGTTTCATATTGAAGATGTGATACGGATATATCTTAATAGGAAGTAAAGTGGCGCAATGACATCAACGGAAAACACTATAACATATCCCTAGTGGAGGATAGAACAATCTACAACGGAAAATGAACTTACTCAACATAAAAGCTGCTCTTTTAGAGCAACGCCTTGATGTACACCAGGGCAAGATGAATTATCAGGGACGTCACGCAAAAATACCTCCATGAATCTGTGTAATTGCACAGTCCACGCGTCCACCGTAACTCACGCCTAATTTTATGCCTTGCTGCCAACACGGCGCTTCCTTTGATCGGTCAAATCAGCCGAGGTTGCGGTAGTATTTATAAGTGACGGGAGAAGTTTCAGCGAAGAATTTTTTTGACCCATCTCACTCACTGGGGTTGTTATAGTGGGCGAAACTCGGATTTGGGGGGGGGGCACGCGATGGCGCGGCGTTCTGTTCGCCTGCTCCGAGCCTAATCTACGGAAAGTTACTCTTTCGCCATCATGTGCTGGGCGCGCGCGCGCATCGTGTGCCCCCCTCCCTCCGAACCCGAGTTTTGCCGTTGTAGTGCAATAGTGCCGTCTGAAACAAGTAAACCCAATCGACGCTGCTACATCTCACTGTGGTTGATCGGATGATTACGTTGCCAAGTGGCACTTGCGGGCGTTCGACTCGGCTTTGGTTCGCCAAGTTTGACCACCTGTTTAGTCACTCGATCCACTCATTACCCGTTCCCCCTCGTTCATGCGATGCTTCGACAATCTTCGACACTTATCTATTTTCTTCAGCTTAATCACCAGATCGCCAAGTAGCTCAAATCTAAGCTGTGAAGCTGCCTAGAGATTGGGGAGAATACCCTCTGCTTCCGAGAACCACGTGCGCGCCAAGTGCAGACCAACACACCACAAGTGACGATGGCCTACAAGTAAATATGGTATCTAATGGTTCACAGTGATAGCTGATGGTTTGTGAATGATAGTGGTAATTAGTAACAATTGACAGATTACAATAATCGGCTAATCATTTTATAAGCAGAAATATTTACATTTTGTGGAGGACGTCATCATTTGTGTCGTGCGGTCTGCACTCGATCCACACCTGCACTTTCGTGACGAGGGGGTATGCGCAGATTTATTAGTATTGTCTCAATAGCAGATTCGACACCCATTAGTTTGTAAGCATTACTGCCTTCATTTTACGACGGAACAGACCTACCGTACGAACGATCGACACAACTACACGACATTCTAACACCAACCGACACAGCCAAACAATTTTGTTTCAAGGTTTTCGAGAGTGTTCATCTCTAGAAAAGGATAAATCCTCCTTCTTAAACGCATAGAGCGTTTTAGTATTCTACCCACCATAATATGGGAGGTTCGTAGGCCTAAACTCGAAACCTAAGTTTAGGAGTGATCATTTTGTACTCCTACTGACTAGTATAGGGCGCCATTCGTTGCGGGACCCACTGCCTTAACCCGCGGGGATCCCAAGCGATCGCGGTTGAATTCGAACATTCCAGCTTCTCACGCATGTCAAGTGACTGCCCTCACCCCCCACCCCCCTAGACTGGCTACACTGCCCCTGGCTCACGGATTCCCCGCTCACATTGAAGGGTTCACTGTAGCAGGAGGCAGTGGGACCCGTAACGAATGGCGCCCTTTACTAGTCAGTAGGAGTACAAAACGATGGCTCCCTATTTACGGCTCCTGTCCTGTCACCTATTATGACTTAATCGTAAAAATCCCAGACCTCTCAAAGTCACGAAATTTACGAATGAAAGTTAGCTCATTGAAATAAAAGGTGAATAGGTTGAAAAAAAGTCCTGAGCCGATTTTTGACAATTCAGAAACTTTCCGCTATTGTCAGATACCTAGAATCTCTACGTGATACAGACTATCGTTGTCGATCAATAGTTTTTTTTTTTTTTTTTTTTTTTTTTTTTTTTTTTTTTGATTATTTTTTTTTGTATACTTCTCCGCAGTAGGTATATATTGCCGGGTTGCCTTCTTTAACTTTAATAATGATCGATTCCACAAGAACACTTTCGAGCGATCATCTTCAATGAATGGCGCTGCGGCACAGGAGCAGTGGGAACCGTCAACATTATCAGCATCGCATTGGGAAGGGACACCACTTCCATCATCAGTGCCAAGCTCTGGTTCGCAGGCTTCGAGGAGGAGACACGGCTTTCAAAGAAAAGACAAGGTTGGGAAGCCCACAAAAGGTAGAAGACTCCACCGTTCTCGGCGCTGTCGAAGAGGATCCGGACGTTAGCACCCGCAGCCTTGTGATAAGACTCGGGTGCACCCATCCCACAGTCCTCGGTCCCCTTCACGACCTCGCCACAGGAAAGTGGTGACTCAATGGATTCCTCATGTCTTGACCGATAGCACGCGGTTCAGGCGGGTACCCATTTGTCAGTTTCTCCTTCTTTGCCCGCACCGAAAGGGGTTTTTGGAAGGCGTGATTACGAGAGATGAGAGTTGGGTCCTCTACGATTCTAACAAGCACAGTGCCGTGTGGCTCCCTCGAAGAGAGGGCCTGCCGACACAAGCAAAATCGGACCTTCACCCCAAAAGCTGTCTCCTTTGCTACCTCTGGGATTCGTGAGGAATGCTGTACTATGATATGCTCCCGTAAAGACATACCGCTACCGGCAGCATTTACGCCAGTCAGCTCTAGAAACTAGCGGACGCTGTTCAAGAAAAACGACCGAGACGAACTTCTGTCCACCTACTCCACGATGACGCCAGGCCCCACAAAGTTAAAGAGACCCGTGCAGAATTGGAAGAGCTGATCTGGGACGCGGTTCCCCATCAACCCTATTCCCCTTACATTGCCTTCTCTGATTATCACTTACTCTATCCCCTTAAGGGATCCCTAGCGAAGAAAGAATTCACCAAAGGTAAAGAAGTTGGAAGAGCGGTCAGCGATTTCTTTGACTCTCAGTCTGCTCTGTTCTGGGAGAAGGAAGTCGCTGAACTGCACATTAGGTGGGACTCTGTAGTGGGTAGCAATGGTGATTATATTGTTGGGTAGATTCCATTCTACGTGGAATAAAAAAGCAAAGAACAAAAAAGTGTCAAACGGCTCAGGACTTTTTTACCACCCTAATATACATGGCGAT